CTAGGTCGGACGCTCCATTACCCCTGCCCTCCTCGTTGGTCAACCCTAAACTGTGGCGACGGTCAGAGGCGGGGAAAGAAGGGGAAAGGGGGAAGCAACAGGAGGCATCGATGAGAGTTTTCTACAGTAAAACAAGTGCTACCTGTGCCGCTAGGGTGGAGATAGAGAAGGGGAGTGAGGACAAAACACCCATCGTCTCTTTCTCCCCCCTTCCCCTCTCTTGAATCCGCCAACGCATACCATCCGTAATAGAAAGGGGCACCACCTAAGAGATTGTGCAGTCTATATTAGGCACTACAACGTCAAGAACGCATGCATACCTCTTCCTCCGGTTCCACGTCGATTTGCCGCGCAGTAGCAAATTCAGCGATCAATTCCAGTGCCGAAACGACACCAACACCTTGCAAGCCATCTGTGTAGTCGCCACCCGATAAAAGCGCTATCTGAATTGATTCCCATCGTGATAACCCTTCAAAAATAAATCTTTTTTTTTTTCGGTGCGGTAACTGATAAACTCAACATCTCTAGACGCACAATGCACTGGAGGCTTGTATTCTTTGTTAACGAACTTACAATGCTATTAAAAAGTAATAAAGAAACGTATGTAATCTGGATTTTTCGAAATAAAATTTTTGGCGGAGACAAAAAATCCGAGTAAATTCTAGTGAAAAAACTTCCCATGTGGCGAATAAACCTAAAAAAAATCGGAAAATATTGAAAATTACGTATTCTCAGGAGTCTCAAAGAAACAACAAACCATTCAAATTAACGGTTTAATAACCCAAACTTGAGGAGATGAAACGGTGCTTAGGACTGTCCGTAGATTAACTACCGAATGATGCAGCACTGGTCAAAGCAAAAGAAAGGACACCAGACAATTTCAGCATTGCAGCGATCTTAAGAATTCGAAATACAGAGCATTTCTCCCGACTAAATTAGTGTAAAAATTGTCCGGGTTTTCCATTCCATAAACAAACTTAGCGTAGATTTTCCGCATTGGTGGTACCACAGCGCAATCAAAATTACTTTTGCAGTTATGTTATTTTGCGATATCGCAATCGATTTTTACTAAAATACACTACAAAATTCTATAATCCGAGCACCTTAGGTCAAATCAAAGTCTGGCACTCCCTACTGCGCTTCTGAATTGCAAGACTAATACTTTCGGGGCTCAAGCAAGGGGATCTGGAGTCCCTGTATATAAGCAAACTGCTTTAAGCAATACAGATTTTCGAGGGCATTTACCTAGCTGGTTCTGAATGGCTCCGCTTGAATACATTTGCAGTTGGCGCTTCTGATTGAACATATTTCTGTAGACAACGCTGGCACCGAACAACCAAACATCCGAATCATCGCTTATGATCCCCTTTAACAGCAAACAGTGGTGTGTTTTTGAATTTTGGTTCGTTTAGGTTACTGGGTATGAGATCAGCTGCGCTGTGCCGTGCTGCTAGCTCGGCGTTTCTCATAATAAATAATTTTTCGGCTTATGCTTCTCCAGTGAATATTAGTATTCAAATTTTTCAGTTCTTTAGCAATTACAAGAAGCATACTAATAATTAATCGGAAATTTTTCAATTTTGCTGATTTTCTATAAAATAACTTGTTGAGACCATTTAAACGAGACGAAACGGAGGATATTTACATTCAGCATAACAAACACAAAGTAAGGCAATACTGGACAATGCAAAGGGGAAAGTTGCTTAAAGTACAGTTCCTGAACAATGCCCAGATTGTAGCTGATCAAAATATCAAGATTACTGATCCAAAGATTACTGAACCATGTAAATGAGATTTGCCACGAGAAATCATATTAAGTTAAAGGAATTCATAAATATATCGTTTACAAAACCAGAATCTTTTAAATGCAGTTGAATATGAAATTCGGCCATAATAAGGATTCAATTTAAAATAACTAAAGCATCAAACTGGAAGCATTTGAAATTTGTTTCTCGTCCACTAATGCCAAAAATTTCTCACCAGTGAAACGCCTTTACTGATAACCTTTTAAACATCTGTAGCACACACATACATACACACCCACCCGCACACACACCCACACACACGCACATACACACACTCGCATGTAACATAGGAAGCACAAACCGGAACAGAGATTGACGAAAATCACCTGTACAAGGCCTAATCGTTCCAGTTCACAACACTGTGCTTCTGCTTCTCCAGGAGCCACAACAAACGGTATACCACATATACGCAATAATTCCTGAAAAAAAAAGCGATTTAACGATTGAAATACAAATGATATTCACTGGACTGATAACAGTAAACCTAGCTAATTTCCTCTATTTTTCTTACAGAAAACTGTATTTGTTCTTGGTCTTCAACTGCTAATTTGGAACACAACAAAGTTTAGGACTCTAACTATCACCGAATACCTTACAATCTTTTTATCAGTAACTTACTGAAAGTAGGAAAAAACGATTTTCCTACTTTTTTTTCGTTTTGGAAAAATTTTCCAGACATGCGGCACCTCCCGTTTGTCTCCACGTAGACGTATCGCATACCAGCAACTGCAGTGGAGTTATAAGCTCTGGTCATTTGACTTCACGTCCATTCGCTGCCGAGGATGACCTCGGCTTTGGCTATCATGAAGGTCTCAAACCGGCCTATCGCTTCATCCGTTGTCAGCATTCGCTGTTACATGCCTAGGTACTTACATACGTCGGAAGGGTCAAACGTTGGCAATTTAACTGCATCGGCATCGCTAGTTGCTCCAATAACGTGTAAAGAAGTTGTGGGAAAGCCACCGGCAAACTAGGCCAATTCATAGAGATTGGTGCAAATGTCGTAAGCACAAAATGTCAGAGGGCAGAAAAATCCGGCTGCACAGATGGAGTCCCCAAGCTGTGAATTAACAGCTGTTCCAGGTATATCCAGGACTGAAAATGCCGTTTTTTTGCCACTTCTTACGGCTGTCCAAACATCCTCACAGGCTGACGAATCTAAGAATTTACCGTTTACTCGAAGCTAAAAGGAGATAAATGTTCAGTCATCAATCATTCTATATTTCGCGAATTAGAAGAAAAACATAATGCATAGGTTTGAAAAAACGAAAACTGAAAAAAGCAAGAAAGAGTAAACCTGACAATCTCTGTAAACGCCTTCTTCCTCAACCGAGCTAAACGTATCTGCAACAGAGGAACGATCTATCTTCATCGACTGACCGCCAGCGGAAGATTCCCCGGTCAATTCTTCGGCAATATTTTTATTCTAAAACTGTAATGAGGTACAAGACGAGTGGGTTTTTTTTCTGAAAAAAAAATAGCAAAAATCAAAATAGCTTTCACAAGAAGATACCTCACCTTGTGGTTTGAGTAGCAGCACGTGGGGCAATAAAAGAAGACACTGTGCTAAGTGTTTTAGAAATTTTAGAGACATAAACAACGAATATTCCTGGCTAGGAGACTGGAAAAGGACAGGAACCTGAAATCCTCTATGTGTTAACATCTGTAGCTTGTTTGGCATTGCTGGCCCACCGTGGATAGGAACACAGTCGAATTTTGACAATTATTGAAAACACTGAAAGTGCCATTTAAATCTCCCAAATAAGTCCTTATAGCAACGACTTATTAGCCTGTCTGTGTTTCATCCCTGAGCTGTAAACACAATGCGAAATGGGATGGGAATCATCAGTACAGTGTCTCATTTCGCCGTGTTAAATTGTGTCAGACTCACTCCCCAGTGATTATGAATTACTGATTAGCAAGCGTTAATAAAGTCATGAACTTTATAGAATACACACTTGTAGTACAGAATATTGAAGGAAGCACAAAATTAAATATTAAGAACGGCTCCTAGCACCCCGGGCATCCACCATTTTCACTTTTTGGCAGCTAAACGCTTGGCAAGGAAAGTAAAGGCACCTGCTTTTGGTCGTTTGTAATCTTATTCTCATGAATATGATGTTCTTTTTCGGCGCCTGAAGATTTTTTCGGTCTTTCTTCCACTGGCTGTGCTTTCAGATCAGCGGACGGAGATGCCTGCTCTGGTTTTTTGAAGAAATCCTCGTGTAACTGGGGTACATCAACAAATTCATCACCATCTTCCTCACTTGAAGAGGACCATGCGTCGTGTTGCAAACCTTCAGAAAATGCATTGTTATTTCCTTGAGTTTAAAACTACTCATCTTTCATAACATTTTGTTCATTACTACTAATATGCATTACACAATTAATTTAACCCTAATCTTCACTAACTTCAACTAACACAATCGTCGTGCTGACGGGGTTCAGTTGTGGTAATGGTAAGAAATGTATATGATTTAATGAACCGGAACACTTCTTATCAGCATAATAATCTCACAAATTTTCAAAATTTACGTTTCTTATCTTCCTTTTTCCTTTCTTCTCTTTGTTTCATTCCTTCTTGTTATAACTTTTTAAAATCGTATCACAAGCTCACTTTATTTCCACCGACTTTTAGGCCGCAAAGCAGAAAAAAAAGGCAGAAAGAGCCCTATTTTTGGTGCTATGAATATATTTCACGGATATTAAAACACAGATTTGCACATTTCGTCTTGAAAAATTGTTCGTCTGCCCGTAAGAAATTTTATCGTGATTTAGAATTTAGATTTAGAAGTGGTGATGCTTGAAAAGAGGGAGATGCTCAACAAACTCCTAACGCGTACCGAAACTGCTAGAGCCTTACGAAGCGCTGAATTTGAAATCTTTGAGTTCCATTTGGACGGGGAACATAACCTCAAAATTTCAGCTTTCTAGCTTTTCTGGTTCCCAAGTCAGCGGTTTTCCCGCCAAAACTTTCAGCCCCTCGTTCGTAGGGCCCAGACTTGCGTGAGGTTCTGTCAAGAGAACGCTGAGTTACCAATCCTTTCAAAAAAGAAACGAACGTAAAGGTCCCAAGAGATTGACCCACGATGCAGCGCTGGTTAAAGTATGTGGAAGTTCTACCAATTGTTAGTTGGACAACAGAAATTTGAACAAAAGCTGACTTGGGCATGCAACTGCTGCTAAACAGTTAAGAGAAAATAGAGGAAAATCAGTAGATATGTGCATGCAGAGAGTATGAATAAAAGAACAAAACAACGAAAACCTAAGCAAAGAAAATTTATGAATTTATAAAAAAAGTGAAAAAAAAACGTACAAAAAAAGTGAAAAAAAACGTTACAGAACAAAAAAGTGAATTCATAAAAAAGTGAAAAAAAAAACGCTATAAAAAAGTGAAAAAACGTTATAAAAAAATGAATTCATAAAAAAGTGAAAAAAAAAGCAAAACACGTTACAAAAAAATGAATTTACGAAAAAGTGTAAAAAAGACGTTACAAAAAAATGAAAAAACGTTACAAGAAAAAAAGAATTCATAAAAAAGTGAAAAAAACTAGCAAAAAAATCGATTTTTTCTTCCAATTTCCTCTTCCACTACACTTGTTCGGCCTTTCATTGGTAGTTAAACAAATTATTACAGGCAGCTCAAAACTTTAAGTATATGTTCCAATGAGAAACACTACTTCGGAGAGTATCGTTTTCAATTGATCATGAAGAATTGAAAAGAAGAAAAACCCCTCGAACTATCCAAAAGTTCAAAATTCGAAGAAAAATGATAACCTCGAGCTCTTTCTGCAAAAGCTGTACGCAGACGCTCAATCATATCGCCTTTCGATTCTTCGGCATACCTGCACAGTGGTGCCGGTCGTTTTCTTGTCTTCCAAGCAACATCTTCAAGGAGGGAGGCGTAAATAGCCTGAAATACAAAATTCTTATTACCAGAAAATTAAGAAATGATTGAAATTTACCAGCAATATTTCTACCACTTGCATTACACAGTTCGTTCTATTCTTGCCTTCTTTTCTGCGTTCTTCATACTACTTTCATGCTACAATCATGCGATAATCAGACTAGCATGCCTGGGTTATCATACAACAGATCGGAGTAAATATCGCTGTTAATAACATCACTCAGTGCATTAAGAACACATATTTGTACCTTTAAGAGCGAACACACACACACAAACACAGGCACACACACATACGTACACGTCATAATTAAATCCACCTTTGATATCGTGTAGTGAGACCAAAGAAAGACTACGGGGAAATCATTAATTGTGAGTTTGGACCTCCTAGGAACTCTCTTTAACAATCAAAACAAAATCGGTACAGACGTACACACATAATACACACATAATACATACATACATACATACATACATACATACATACATGCATACATACATACACACACACACACACACACACACACACACACACACACACACACACACACAAAACTCCTTATCAATATGCGTTTTCTGCACCACATCGATGAAAAAACTCATAAAAAATGATAAGTCAGTGAATTCAAACCTCCTGTAGCGCGTCATCTTCGTCATCCTCTTCGTCGGAAACAACTATAACGTTTTCTTCTTTGACTTCGGCTACCTGAAAGTTACGGCAAATTTCATAAAACAAATCGAGTTTCAATATTTTACTTTCATACACCAGATTGTCGAAATCAAGCAGACGAACAGAGCGATCTGATGTTAGAACTAGTACTGCGATACGCCAATATGATAATATAGGCCGTTGTTTTCGTGCTAAAAGTAGTATTGTGTTGTGTGGTGTATTGTGGAGGTGGCCCAGATGATCCCCGAGGGACAAGGAATCTACTACTCCTAACTATCGCCACAATCGTCGTACTGACGAGGTTCAACTGTAGTAACGGTAAGAAATGTATACGACTTAATGGACCGAAATATTTCTTACCTATAACAAATATTTCTT